AACTATCTAAACTGTCCTTACCATGAGGCCAGATGACAAAATAGTCGTCCATGTATCTAACCAACAATTTGATGGTTAGTATTGCGTCTTACAGGAAGTGTTCCTTAATCTTGCCATATAATTGTTCGCTAAGATGGGAGACAGGCAAGATCCCATCGCTAATCCTTGCTTTTGCTTGTATAACTTAACATCAAAGGTAAAATATGTGGTTATCTAGGTTTTTAATTTTATTTTGGCTCAATTGAGTCTATATAAGAAGTAAGATAGAGCCGGATAGAGTTCTTGCCCTAGTCTTAACGTGAGACTTTTACAATAATGACGACCAGCTCTAATGATGTCCATCATATGATGGACGAAAGCTCAGCACGTTTTCACCCGAGACGAGCGAGGAAGTCTCGTGGACTGCGTCAGCATGAATATCGTATATAAGCAAAACGGCTTTAGTACAACAAGATTAATCCGTCATCATCTGGTGAAATCGACCAATGAATCTCTTCTTCATGCACTTTCATACGAAATGAAAGTCCCCCCCACAATGTTATCTCATGAGATTCATCGAAACTTAGTTTATCTTCGTATCTATAATGTACGTACCGTTCGACTTCTTGTCATTTGTCTTCTCGCTACACTATAACCAAGAAAGCTATATCCCAGCAAGTTAATAGAATTCGATTTTTTTAAATTCGTATTTCTCATAATGTTGTTCCTATGTGTTGTTTACTCTGTAGACGTTTTAATCTACCGAAATACACAAATAGAGAACTTGATCAAGTATCGTGTGGTTTAGGTAAAACTAGGCTCAAGGAAATCTTTACAAAATCAACGAACTAATTAAAACCAAAACTAAGCTTAGGCAATCCCTCTCTGAACTATTGCATGATGTGAATTTCATTAAGTTACAAGACATGGCTGACGGGTTAGGTGAGGCGATTGGCTGGATATCTCAGTAAAGGCCTATACATGTCGTTGTCGCTTAAATGAACTAGTATTTTTTCTACATAACTTGACTTATCCATGACTACCACTGCTCCACCTTTGCCGACTTTCTTTATAATTATATTACTAACACAGAGATATCTATAAATCCTACTAAGATAACAATCTTTCTTTGGCGGTATTATATGGTCAAAATGACGGATCACCTTCAGTTAAATACTATTCCTTACCTCTTCATGCAATCTGTGAGATAAGCTAATTAATTCAACAAGAATTTCCAGAGAATGCTTTACCTAATTTGGAAGAGCAAAATTTAATCCTCTTTCCAATAAAGATACTACACTATCCTCCAGAGTTGTACTAGATAAATTGATTACCTTATTCTTCCTCAGTTTGCTACAACCATGATTAGTATGGCTTACCTTAACTTAATGAAATCCACATCCCTTAATATTTCAGGAAGGGATTGCCTAAACCTAGTTTTGGTTTAAATTAGTTCATGTTGTTTTCCACTGCTTTCCTTGAGCCCCTAGGTGCTCTGTGTTAACCCGAACGTCGTATAAAAGCCAAACGACTGCAGTACAACGGGATCGACATACGAATTTCTTATTCATGCACTTTCATACGAAATGAAAGTCCCCCAGCAATGTTATCTCAGGAGATTTATAGAAATCCAGTTTCTCTTCTATCCACTTTTTTCGTAACTGAGACGCTACTGCTTTTCGCCTTATAACTGCTCTCAATCAATTTTGCATGTGGTTCCCCTGAACTCACTTATAGGCTAAATTGTGGTATTTACACTCATCATTACTTGGCATCAGGTGCACAATCATATAAAGACTGTTCATTTAGAGGGCTTAAATATTATATGCATTAGTTATCAAATGGAATATTAAAGTAAGGCATTAGTGGGTACACTTCTGTAATCCGAAAGAGCTCTCCTACTTGGCTCTTGCCATATGGCTTAAGTTCATAAGAAACATGAATATACCTTCTACATTCGTTTTATTTGCCATTCCATTTGGTACATCGCACACAAAACGTCAAATTGCATGTACAACTGGAGATAGGCCCTTCCGCCCCATATATTCTTTCTAAGCTTCACTAAAAATGTAAATTAATTTTCTTTGTTTCTTCAGCTATCAGTTCCCGACGGCTCTGAACCCGCAAAGGACATAACAACACGTAGTGATGGATCCATTGATGTCCTTCACTTTGGCTATGATGATGAGGCAATGGCACGAGTTGCTGCTGCTGATCGAGCTGCTGCCGCCGAAGCAGAGGCAATGGCTGCTCAGTTAGTTGCGGCTGGCAACACTGTCAGACGGAAACGGAGAGGTGGGACGAAGTGGAAAAGCCAGAGGCCCGTTAGTAGTATCACTGATGATAGGTTAGAGCAAGATACTGGTGCCTGCGCTTTTGTGGAAACAAAGAATCGACAAATGGATCCCAATGATGCTGACTACGATAAAAAGAAAGGCGATGAGCTTTTAGATGCTGAAGAAGAATACGAGGAGTATACTGAAGTTGAAAAGAATGCTGGCTTGAATGATTACGCCGCAGGAGTCCCCAGTAATCTTGTCCCGTAAGACAACTTGCTATTTTTTTTGTTGATGAATCTTCTTCATTTCTTTATTATGCATATCTATAACCTGAAATTCATGAACGCACCTAGTCCGGAATCCAAAGTTGAACCGTGGACGTGGTCCATTCCCAAACGTTTCGCCGGCATCGTCAGTGAGTATCGCTATTCTTATCACCCACAACAACTCGTCAAAGAAACAAATGAAGCCGATTCTTTGACCAAATTTGTGCTAAACAATTGTGGTATCTCCCCTTCTGCCCTGGGTTATTCGCGTTTCCGGTAGAATCATATCATGCCTTCACTATTGCAATTTTAACCGTGTTTATTTAGATAGTATGGTGTGCTCCTTTGAGCGACATGACACCTTCACACTCAAATTCTCGTTCTCACCTCCGCCCTTCATCCTTGTGCAGGGAATGCTGATCAGAGTCTGCTTTATTATTATGAAGTCCTCTTTCCTAGTCTTATCCCAGTCTCTCTCTTGCTCCGTAAAATCCGTCTGCTCTACCTCTTACTCACCTATTTCACTCGATTCCTGTCACCACATCTATCCTACTCGAGGCGTTATTCGCCCTCACTTACGTCTGGGTGACTAATTCGAGGCGCAAGCGTCTGAGTGTCATGGTCACCCCTTTGCTACATGTACCACGGCTCTGGTACAAAAGACCCGCCGTCAGCCAAATAGCTCCGGTCCTCGCCGTCTCTATCCTGTTTCTATCCCTAATACCAAGTCTATGATTTGCAATGCCCTCTGTGTGTGCCCTTGTGTGTCAACCCACAATTGTTGTGGTACAGCTTGTTTTGGTATGGTTAAATGTTGAACCACAACATTTCTGGGTTGGCACACAAGAGACTAGGGCATAGGAAGTCATAGACTTGTTATTATGGTTAGAAAGAGGATAGAAACAGTGGAAGCTAGAGCTGGTTGGCTAGCAATAGTCGTGATTCAAGGATCATGTTTAAGATCAAACACGTCTATTGTTAGCCAAACAGCTTTAGTCTCCATCTCGTCTTTCCTGTTTCTATCTCATAATACCATGACTATCATTTCTTATGTGTGCCAACCCACAAATTTCGTGGTTCTACTTGTTTTGCTAAGGCTCACTGAAGACGTCTCCTCTTGGCTTCTGATTCTTTCTTTCTCATCCCCTTGCGATCTCTTTTCCTAAAATTATGGATGTTACCTTAATCCAATCGTCTTCTTTTTGCTGATCCTGTTGTTGCCTGATGTTCTCCGAGTTTGTTTAGGCAATATGCATACTATTCGCTGATCCTGCCTTCTTCAAGTCTCCTGTTCATTAGATTCCTCTCAGTCAGTATATCAATGGCCCCTCGGATCTTTCGTTTTCTCGTGTTTTCACAATATCCAGCGAACCTATCGGTCAATTTCCAGTCGATTTGATGCCCCGTCCATGCAATGTGTTCCTATATTTCTGATCTTTGTGT